CCAAAAATTTCCTATTCGTATCTTTGTTCTTAACCCATTTTCACAGAGAGTGCGTTTACTTCTTCCGTTTTGCTTCTTTCGACAAGAGATGCTTAAACTTCCTTTGATCGGACAGATCTAAAAGTTTCTACAATAAAACAGCTTTAATGTACTGTTTCATTGGCCTTCCTGCACTTGTTAGCCTGGACGCATAAATCTTTATTTTCCATTAGCAAAGGAAACAGCGATAAAGGTTATATAACCAATGGTGTTTGCAACATGTACTATATCGTACCTTTAATAATTACGAAATAATGCTAATATATGTTAAAAAATTAGTAATAAATTTTCAATTTTAAGAAAAATTTTCGTTAATTAACTGATTTAAAGTTCTTTATTTTGGTATTCTAAGATTTGGTTTATTTTTAATGTTGCTTCATTATTAGATAATAACAATAAATATTAAATAGATTACCTAATGATAATTTTTCTAGTCTAAGAGATAGTTAATTCGTTTTAGATAAATAACATCGTTTTTTTTAATATTATGTAAATTATTAATAACAGTAAGCATGATGCATTCTATGATCCTCAGAGGTGACACCGCACCTTCTGTTGAATTATTTGTTAGGAATTGGCTGCCGGTATCCTCAGACGGGTGAGGCCACTGATTATGATATGAGTGTGATCTTTCTGTCAATATGTTGTAATAAAAATTAATTTATAAATAAATACATAATTCCTTTATGTTTAGAAATCTAAACAACTAGGAAACATATTTACTGAATAAAATTATTTATACTTGAATTAATCTTGTTTTATATAATCAAAACTTAAAAACCGGTAACAGAACTTCTCTCGATGTACATGATGGTGAAGCATCCAGTAACGGAAACAGATTTAAAGGTGTGATTAATGTTAGAAATATGTATTTCCAATTGCCGCGAAGGAAGTGGCAAAATAAAAATTAGTATCTTTTTTATCATTTGGTTGAGTTCACTTTCGTCTTCGTTGGCGGCGCCTTGCGAAAATAGAATCTGGCGGCAATACGTGCTGAGTCCCGAGTCCCGGTTCGGACTGCCAGTGCACCGTGAGCCGCGCACCTCATTCATATCTGTTCAAACAAACGTCTGCCGAATTAATTCTACATCTCGTTCAATCTTTTAACTTCCACGAGGTAGACATGACGGGAGTGTGTTTAGCAAGCGTACCGTATATAAGATAGTGAAGTGTTATACAATAGTTGTTAGTGATAAGTGTTTAAGATGAACGGCATGGGGACATTACGTACCAAGTTCAGGGGCGTCAAGAAGGAGCTGTTGGAAAGACAGACCAGTATGCTCATTCAATCTATGACTGTAGGTTTTTTGTTATGTTAACTGAAATGTACTGATAAATGTCATGATATTAATTCTAACTATAACTAATTTTATACATGATAATCGATGATTAAAATTGTTATTGCAATTCGTAGTTAAACTATAGTTAAGAGAAAGATTCGAGATCTGTGCATTGCAGTTTTGCAGTTGCGTGTAGCCTGTTTATGTAAAAGCTTAGGTCTCTAGGTCAGTATCAGTGGCGACTGCATTAAAACAGATGATATTTACAGCGTTGACGTTACGGCAATTAATAGAATGCGTGTTCTATGTGCTAGGTGTACAACTAGATACAATAGTAACCGATAAGCTTTTCTGATCATATACACCATTGTTCTTTCTTCATTGCTTTTGAGTGTCACTTACGTGACTTAGCTCAGTGCGATAAAAATAAATCACCAAATTTGCATGAAGTGTTTAAAGTAACACTGTATTTTGTGTGTTTTTGTTCGAAACAAATCCACAGCGGTTTTGTTTAATAAATACTTATTTACGTATGCTGCTAGCGGATATGTAGGTATTAATGCTTTAATCGTGTTTCTCATTCTGGGAATCTCAGACTTCCTTCGTATTGAACGCTTGATTATATTATACGTCAGTCTAAATTACGTTCGTAAGTAAATACAAAGACAACTATGTACTACTATTTATTACACAGCACTCTTTGTGTGCGCTTAATCGAAACCACCAGCCTTACATCAGATCGATATGGTTCCCACAGCAGCGCGTTTACCCAACTAGCTCGAGTATGATATTGGGGATACGCAGTCAAAGCTTATAAACTGTCACTTGAAATTGGTAGAGTTTCTTTTGGTTGTTCCGGTTGTATCGGGGTAACGAATTACAACCCCATGGTGCATATTATAGTACACTTCATCCGTGCTCAGACCTAGTGCAGTTTTTTTGGAAAGATATATAAATCAGGTTTTACGGTCAATGAAATTGTTATATTATTATGAATCATCGGTATGTGTATGTGTTATAATATGCAGAATCCTTTCGCTGTCCCGTTCCCTACATATTATGCAATACATATATGTAGCTCATTGCTATTGTTTTACTTTTGTGTCTCTAAACCGGACAGTGGAAGTGTTAAGCTTTTTATTCACACAATTTTTTATAGTGCCTTTTAAGGGTACTTTGTTGTAGTGATTTAGTTAGTGTTTATAAAATTAGCTATTTTAAAGTGAATTTACTTAATTCTAATGCAATTTTTGTTTTTGTTTGTATGTTTAAAAATTAAATTTAGACTTAGAGCCTTATTTATTTCCTTTTTATGAAGACTGTTCAAAATCTTTTTAAAATTAAGTATGTATAATAATAATAATACATGAACTATTAATTACAATACTACACATTACATTTTATTTCTTATAGTATTTAAGATGCATATTAGAATGCACTAGATTCTTGGGAATACTTATTGCCAGCTATAAACTTAAAAAGACCTTTATTTTTGTTGTTGACGATGATGATAATGATGATTAATGGTAAACATTTTCGCTTTATTAACACAACAATACCATTTATATCTAATATATTGTTTGGCGCAGTAAAATATAAGAAAAATCATTTAGATTTTTTTTTCAATCTTTAGAAATGAATACCCAATAAATATTTAATAACTATATAAGGCAATATTTATTTCAAGTTTTATCAAGCAAAACATATATGGAAGCTGAAGTTTGCTCCTTAAACTATTTTTTTTTTAATAAATAAACACCTAACGTAGCACGTAGTAGCACATCGCGGCAGAACTCCCGATACCATCCACACCATCTGGATGATTGGCGATCCACCACTGTGCGATTTAGAAGATGTTTTCTTACTCGCACAACTTCCTTGTGGAATAGTTTACCACCAGCGATTTTTCCGGACCGATACGACTTAGGGACCTTTAAGAAAAGAGCCTACTCCTTTTTAAAAGGCCGGCAACGCATCTGCAATTCCCCTGGTGTTCATGAGCGGCGGTAGGCACTTACGATCAGGTGAGCCGCAGGCTTGTTTGCCCCCTCTCCTATAAAAAAAATACATTCTCTAATAATATATTATATCATGTTATAACTAATATACCAAAAATTGCGCTACACCTACTTAAAAATATAGCCAACATTTGAACAATTTAAAACTCAACCAAATTACACAGTTAGGGTGCGTTAGAGTTATTTTTTTTTATAGGATAAGGGTGACAAGCGAGCACATAGTTCACCTGATAGTAAGTAGTTGCTGTGGCCGATAGAAATCTACATCTATCCTCGTTTGCGAATCAAAATGCAGATGCGTTGTCAGCCGTTTTTTTTAAATTACCTAACACTAGGATTATTTCCTGTATTGTGGAGGCGGTTGATTCAGACCCGGAGCAATTATTTGAAATACTTTTTCCGTGCGAGATTCGAACCAGCGGTCCTCCACGCCGCAACTCATTGCTAAGCCACTGCGCCATAAAGCCTATATAGTTTTGCCGTTGGAGTTGCCACGCTTGGCATGCGGTTTTAGCAATCGCAATTTTTTTTAATTTTTAGTTGTTATCAGGAAAACGCTGCTGCCTTTCTCTTGGTTTGTTTTCCTCTGTCGCCTCTTGCGACGTCCACGGGACGATATGGGGTAGTGGAAATTCTTACACTGCTACTACACGCTTAACAATATAATATTTTAGACTAGTTTTTTTGCGGTAGTCGAAGCAGTCGAAATACTCCATTTGATAGTTTAAATTGTTCCCGCCTTAAATACTGACTTGTACGCGGATAGGTACATAGGTACTTTTAATTTTGTAAGTGTACGGGTCTCCATTCTAGCTAAATACGTTAGTTAATTTAATAGCTAAAATTATTATAATTAGTAATACCGGTGATAAGTATCGGGTTTTTTTAAATTTCAAAGTTTTTGTTATTGGGTTTCTCGCGTCTAATAAAATTGTACGAGCACAATAGCGTTCTTACTACTAATTTTTCACTTTAATATACAAATTATCATGTAAAATTTCATTTAATATGGTATGATAATATTGTTTAAAGCACGAAGTAAGGAACGGTATTATGCGTATACTTTTATGGTTTTGGGATATTGTTATAGAAATATACCACATCAAATATTTTATATGTTAAGTATTCATCTTTATATATAAAAATTACGTGTCACATTGTTTGTCCGCGATGAACTCCTAAACTACTGAACTGATTGCAATGAAATTTTGCACACTGTGTGCAGTTTGCTCCAACTTCAGAAATAGGATACTTTTTATCCATATAAGTGACACTCAAAATTTTTTTTATTACGATTACGATCACGATGAAGAGTCGTTGAAAAGGGCAGAACAACGTATGCCTGGTCAGTTACTTTTTATTTTTATTAATAAATTATCGTGCCTAGCTGTATTACATTTATAAAAGAACAAGCTATCTACCCCGGCTTTACACGGGTGTTTTCTGGATCTCGTCAACAGCAACGCCTACTGAGTCCAACTATAGCTAAGAACTATCCAGGTGACCCCATATGCACCCCATAAACATTATCAAAATCAGTCAAGCCGCTTAGGAGGAAAATAATTACGAACACACGCACATCTGAATTTTATACGACTATATTAAGGTGAAAGATTTTTGTTTACCTATGCTTTATATTTGAATTCTAAACTACATATTGCAGGTCGATGAACTTTATTTGGAAATTCTCTACGAGATTTTACACAATGTGGGTGGATGCGACATGGGCTGCGAGGTGGGACAGCAGGTGATGCTGTCTTACGTCCAAGAGGCATTTAAAATTGCAAATGAGAAGCATACGCAGTTGTTAACAAAAGCAGAAGCAAAAGAACCGCCCGAGTTAATGTTGAATGTAGAGGTGGTGGAAGCTAAAGATCTGGTGCCTAAAGATCCCAATGGATTGAGTGATCCGTTTGTAACAATATACTTAATGTCAAATTCTTCTCAACGGTACAATACTTCAGTGAAATCGAGCACATTAAATCCATTGTGGGAGGAGCATTTTTCATTGTAAGTATGGCAAGAATTTAATTAAGATTCTGTGGCGAAAGCCAAGCTGTCAAAGCATAAAAACTGTCTATTAGTCATTGGACACAGCACTATGGTTAGTGACGCTAACGACGCTAACTGCGCAATGCGTAACGTTTTGCAATATAGGTACTTTAAGTTCCTAAGCTGTTCTGTTGCTGTGCAATAACTTGTATTTTTATTACTTTTGTGGTAGCACTTACAATATAAATTAGATCACTGTTAATGCAGTTTTATTGAATATCCAAGAACTACGACACAACACCAGCAAACCATAAATTGGTGACCCGACTACTATAAATCGGTGGTGACCCTGACGTGATTTGATCACGCAACATTTTTATACTTTTTAATATTATATAATAGACACTTTTGTGCTTTGACAGCTTGGTGTTTTGCCACAATTCATAAAGCATATTGCTATATTATTATATATTTCTTCTTGTGTCCGTAAAGCTGCTGGAAATGGCGTGTCCACCTGTAGAGAGGATTGACCCCAACCGTCACGCATGGCAGGTGCATAGACGATCGCAGTATTGCATTGAAACACTTACTTCTATAAAAAAAACCAGACGTCTCATAACTTTGAAGCCGCTGCCATTCGTTTTAATGATTTGTTTAATTGAAAAACACTAATGAAATCTGAGCAGAAAAAACAATCGAATGTCACTACGAAACTCGCTAAAAATTAAATTGACATATATCTTCTTGCTGCAAAAGAACTAAACCATTCGGCATTTTTGTAGGATTTTGATTCAGTCGCGCATAGATTTAGTCTAGTGAGCAGTGCAGCTGCAACTAGGTTTATTGTACGCATAGAGGGCCACGTGGACATATAATTTGACAGAGGGAAATGCCTGCGTACGGCTACTCCCTTCCAATCCGCCGCGGGCCCGTGTTAAATTGTTAACGGTTTTCTGTGTGAATTAACTTATGCATAGTCCCAGTGGGGAAAATGTACAAAATTTCTATATCAGTGTAATTTGTCCTAATAATTGCTTCTTAGGAAAAAGTGGAATAATACCGCCGGTATTGATATTTTATGCCGGTAGTAAACGAGATGGTATACCGGCATCTATAGAGAGCCATAAAATGTTGTCTGTTATTTTGTATAATTTTAAATTCGGCTTATACCACACCCATGGGTCGAAATGGAATGATGATTATCTTCTGTCGTCACTACGCGAGGAAAATATTGTTACCGTACAGCATGCTTACAATATGTGTTAATGATAGAATATGGCATTTAAATATTTATTTCAATTACAATCATCATTAATTACAGCTTATCAAAAGTCCACTGCTGAACATAGACCTTCTTCAGAGATTGCCTCATAGAGGGGATTTTGTCATATATGCCAAGCTTGGCAGGCGGGCCGGCAATCGCAGTTGTTTATTATTTACAGTTGTTATGTTGTTATCATGAAAATGTTAACCAATACAGATTCAATTGCACCGTCGTTCATAATGCGTAGGTACAGCAAAAGGAATAATCGATCTTTCCACGCGATTATAACGTGAGTGTTACCAAGGCAAGAGTGAATAGGCTTTTGTTAATCTAAGTCAGTGCCCTTTACCATCTTCGGCTACATCACCACTTACTATCAGGCGATTTCATACTAGTTGTCAAGCACTGACTTATAATATCAAAAAAGCGCTGCTGCTGTTCATCTTTTGTTTCAGTTTCCCTCTGTTGCTGCTTACGACACTGGTACACACGGTACCTTATATCCACAGATAATATTATAAATTATTGGTAGTTCATCGCAAACGTATTGAATTAACTTCACTACAAATGTAAAAGCATAAAACATTCATAGCATAATTTAACGATATCAATAAGCCAGACCTTGCTCTCGTCAGAGTTTTGTAATAATCGTTTGCTTACCGCGGCCTATTGAGGTAATAATACAATATATTATTTTCAGGCCGATGCCGGCGAATCTACATGAGGACTCTTTGATACTAGAAGTGTGGTAAGTCTAGTTTTAAATTTATGGATTTATGAAATAGAAGTAAAAAAGTGAAGTTTCAGCTTATATTTGACGCACTGCTGGGTACAGGCCATCTCTACTTTCAGAGTTTTTACTTTCAGAGAGAGAGCAATTTTCTGCCACACTGTTCCAGTGTGTGTTGGCGGCTTTTACATGCTTTGAAATATCCTTATTTTACGGGTTTTTTCATAATGTTTTCGTTCACAACCGGGCACGTGGAAAATCAGCACAAAAAAATTCTATCAATAATTTCATTGGTGCCAGCGAGGATCGAATTACTTAGCGCCTGATGTATCACTATTATTTTTTGAAGTATAATTTTTCTGATACAATAGAGGCGGCATGTGCCCGACAGTAGGCTATTAGTTTATTTTTTTGTAATAGTTTATAGTGTAGCAACCACGGCAATATATACTTATTAGTGTTTAGATTAAGAGTAGTCTAATTAAAGTCATAGCAAGAGTAACACGACTCCTCTCATTAACACCTTTCCAACATTACATGGCGACCCTGCCAGGCGGTGCGCTGCTACAAATGTATGTGCACCGTCGCGGCCTGCAATTACAAACATGTATATCGCATTATTAGTTCCTACCACATTATGATAACGTTTTCCATATTTCGAGAGTTGTGTACAACAAAAATAACAACAAAAATAGAATGCTTTAAAATTTATGTCTATCTGTTTTTGCAGGGACTTCGATCCGGCTGAAACAGTCAAAGAGAAAATGACAAAGATATTCGAAGTAAAAGGTGTGAAGGGCCTTCGGAAGTTGATGAAAGAAATAGCCATCACCGCTTCCACAGGGAAACACGACAACGAACTTATAGGAACTTCTAATATCCCACTAAAAGTAAGTGACCAAATATTTCAATATTTTTTATAACCCCGATATAATCCATAGCTTGTCATATGACTCTCCCGTTGGAGGAAGATTTGCTACAATCGCGATAAAAGAGGCCAACTAATATTTCTTCAATTTCCCTTGTCTACTCTTACGCCTCCACTGGAACTAAATGGAGCGATAAAGTTTTTTCTTATCTTACTTAATATTAATCACCTTTCTCTTCTTCTCTTATCGTTGCATACGTTAATATAATACATAAACACTCATGCCTGTCACACAGAGGGGTAGGCAGAGACTATGGACTTCCATTTGGCACGATTCTGTCACACCTCTCTCGCTTCTTCCACATCCATATACCTACGCATACACGCTCGGTTAAAGGTACTTACGTTAAATATGCTTATTAAAGTGCTTACGTTAAATATTTGGTTAATTATTCAGTAGACTCAATGATCATCTTCACCTTGCTAATTCACGTTATTGCCTTGTTGGCCTAGAGTTCGTCGCGCGACTATTGATCATAGGGTCCTGGGTTCGATTCTCGGTTCGGACCAAAATCTGTTATTAGGGTGTTCCTCAAGGAACTCGCAGTAGCAGCCTTGGAGCGCAAGTAGAGTTGTTGGTCTTGCACCTGATCTTTCTCCGGTCGTGTCGGATTGCCACCTCATCAGACTTCATAATCTACCTCTCTTATATACTCTCATGAGTGAGGGAATAGAGTACACCTGTTCTTGCGTCTACACTTAGGCCCTATAATCCTGTCGGTCGGCAGATGGCCAGTCTCTATTGAGACTAGCATACATACATCGTAAAACGGTTCTTAAAACAAAAATATACTAGATACCTTCATTCGATTGATATTTTAATGCATTGCTTTGATGTAGTGCTATTTACATGCATACATATAATCACGCCTCTATCCCGTAGGGGTGCCTACCACTTCTTTCCACTTGCTACGATCCTTACATACTTGTTTCGCGTCGTCCACTTTCATTATTCCCTTCATACATGCTCTACGGTTTAGGGTACTCTTGACCTGGCCTTTTTTCAAGACTACCCTGATTTGGTCTCGAAACATCCGCCTAGGTCTACCCCTTCTAACACTTTCATTTACGCTCGCTTTAGACACTCTTTTCGTCAATCGTTCTTCATTCATTCTCTCGACATGGACAAACCATGTCAGCATATCTTTCTCAATTTTTGTCACTACATCTTCTTTCAGACCATAACGTTGCCTTATCTCACTATTTGTTATCCTGTCACTCAGTTTAACTTCTATCATACTTCTTAACGCTCTCATCTCAACTGCATTTATTCTGGTTTCATGAGTGTCGGAACCAACACCCCCTCATGCACAGCCAAACGAGCCTTGTTAGACACATTCCGATTGCTCATAAAGAAGTGCAAAGCTCCATTCACCATGTTTCCTGCATTCACTCTTCTTTCGATATCACTCTCACACTATTTCAATTTAAATTAAATTCCTTTTTATTGTTTTTTTTTTTAGTCAATCCCAGCCGGTGGCATGACAATGTGGTTCAACCTAAGTAAAAAGAGCAAGCTCCGACGCCAGGGTGTTTTAAAGTTGCGACTGAACTTCTCTTCCGAGAAGAACTCACAAGTCGCAGCGCAGGAACATCGACATCTACTGAGGATACTGCTTCTGCATGAACTTGAGAGCTCTAAGGTAAGTTGAAACATAGTAGGTTCAAATCAAAGGTCATTATATCAAAGATGATAAAATAAATGTCTAAAATAATGAAAGTAATGGCATCCACAACTTTCTTCACCAGGGCGGCGCCACTTAAGAGTGAAGTTAAATACTTTCATAGCGGGGGAAGTTAATTTGTTAGAAAAGTGTAGAGATTGATATTTCTTTCTGAAATATAAGTTATATTTTATATTAGTTAGAATAGAAATGAATAAACTAAACTACAGATAATTACTAAAAGTAGAAGAATTAAAACATTTAAAAATGGGTAAAATATTAAAGAATACAGAGCGAAGGCATTGTTTTGTGTATATACATACAGAAACCGAAAAACTTGTCGGAGATTCTGCAAAGAGAATCTCTAGCGCACGGTGCCTACAGTGAACTTTATACTGCACAAACCATAGATAATACACTTTACATAAACAAGTGGGGGTTTCTCGATATACCCTCAATTCCACCTCGATACAACCGGGTATTTTATAAATGCTCCGACAAACTTATAATTAAATCGCGACTTTTCAAAGATGACGATACTGTCTCACCCTTTGCGTAACAAATACCTTAGTCCCAAGTCCCAACTAGCGATATCTGGTGAGCGTAAAATTATTCGCCCTCATTGGCTAAGATGTGTATGTAAAAGAAGTGTGTTTTACCCAATACCATTCTCGCGAGTTTCGAGTTTCACCTCTAAATGAAGCATCATCAGGTGTAACTGTTCTCTTCTCTGGTTTTATCCTTTTTTGAAAACAAGTGAACTTAACCTACAGTGAACTTTATACTGCACAAACCATAGATAATACACTTTACACAAACACGTTATATATATATATATATAACCACGCCGATAACGACAGTGCGTTTACACGGAATTTTCAGCTACGCATGACTACATTATTAAATTACTGTCGTCAGCGGTTTTACTGGGCCGATAGGTCTTAGGGACGTTTAAGAAAAGAGCCTACTTCTTTTTAAAAGGCCGTATGCTACTTTGCTTCTTCTGCCATAAAAAAATTTGAATACCCGATTATTTTCATATTTAGGCGAACATCTGATCCGACTCTTGTGCACTGCTGATATTTCACAAATAAAATTAATTGTATTGAACTATGTAGTACGAAATGTCCTTTTCGAAATTCGCGATACGACGTTTTGTGTTACGTTGCCTCTTTATTGTTACTTGCGTAGTTATGTCAGTGTTTCATGGTATTCGAAGTCATGTTATGTCATGGTCGTAGGGTTTAAGTTTGTAGCTTGATTTTTGTAACACCCCAATGGATAAACTAATTTCAGGTTGCACCATACTGGTGGTGCGGCAACTTCAGCGCGCCGGCAGAGGCGATCCTCACGCAACATGTGGCTCAAAGTGGCTTAAGCCAAAGCGACAACTGGCTTGCGCAATGGGTGGTTTTCTGCGCTGTTACCACCGACCATCCCCTCAGCTTCTCACTCTTCAACCAGCTGCTTGAGAAAATAACGAAGCCGCTGCAATCAGGTAACCAATACCTACAACAAATTACTTTTGTTACCGAAAAAAGGAAATTGTAGAGAGGCTAGTGTATGTATTAGATCTTATTGTAACTATTATTTTATACAAGTTAGGACTGAGTTTTCTATCACATTATTTTGCTTTTCTTTGAAAAAAACAACGTCACCCTCACACTTAATTATTTCTGTATCGTGGAGGCAATTTACAAATAAATTGCAAAAGGACAAACATCCAGAACGGGAACAATTATTTTTAGGCCGTACAAATACTTGTTTCTTACGGAAATAGGACCCACCAACCTTAGGGCCGGAGTCTTCAATTATATCCTGCCTGAATTTAAAAGTGAAACAATCATACTATCTTATTCATATTTACTTTACTTTTTAATTGGCTTATGTTGTGTTTTATGATTTATAAATCTACCCTTAGCTTAACAAACAAGCACGCAGTTCTGTGGCACATGACAGCCGTGGCCTAATGACATCTAAATTTATTTCCGTTTAGATTGAAAATGCAGATACTTAGTCACCCGAGAGGACTAAGATGGCCTCGTTAGCATGAAATAGGGTGAGCACGGGGCTCCCCGGTGCTCGTCACTTACCATACGAAAAACAGCAGCTTTGCGCTGCTTATTTACGTCGTGTGTCGAGAGGTGAAATAAATCACAAGCATGGTTCAAAGTCAAAACCTTATAATCCTTTTAGGTTTGAATAAAGTAGACATGTGTCATTCTTTCATTTCTAGTGACCCATCATTCAAGTATAGATTCGTCTTACGAACCGGACCATTCGGGTCGTTCATTCATATGGATCATTTCGAGTTACAGTACTCTGAGATCTATGAGACCCGCTCGATAATGTCGGTCGTCGGACATTACTCTTCGGTCGTAGGTCCTGTCAATCGTTTGATTCGGTTGAAACGTTCAAAAAATGTAATTGCAATCATCAATACTTTGATTTGAATCATTCACGAATGATACATGTCTAGTATAAAGCTTTTATGAAAATCAATAGAACCGGCAAAAAACTGAGGAGCTTAAAACCGTGTTACAATTTCATTTACAATAATTAATATAGATAGGACCTGAGAAAATAGTTAGGACCTGAGACCGGTTCAGAGTTACCTTTAGTATACTATGCAGTTAATGCCGAGCGTCCAGCCCCTAAGCTATCATCATCATTATCATTACAGCCCTTCACAAGTCCACTGTTGAACATATGCCTCCCCCAAGGAATGCCACACAGCATGGTCCAAACCCACCTGCATCCATTGAATTCCTGCATATCTTACCTCATCACTCCATCTAGTAGGTGGCACCCTACACTTCGTCTGCCGGTACGAGTCTGCCACCCGAGAACCTTTTTTCCCATCAGTTGTCGGTTCATCGTGTTATTCGTGTCATCGAGTGATATCATCGAGTTATGGGCTATGGCGGTTACTCTACTACTACTGCTATCACACCTCTAAAAATCAAATACTTTTCCCTAATCTTTCAGGACTAGTCAATGAAGAGGAAGTTAAACTATTCTGGGACGGCGCGAAAAAACTGCTGCCGACTTGTTACAGTCACATAAGGAAACTGAGGAAAAAGACCGCTGGCGATAAAACCGTCATGAAGACGCTTAGAGAGGTCCTAAAGATACTGTACCGCCTCTCTGTTCTCGATGTCCCAGAATATGTAGACCTGTTTCCAGTTAATTTGTACGGCTGGTTAAGAGATAACAGTGACGGTAGTAGGTTAACCATACAAGAGGTTTTGAATCAGGCCGCAGTGCAAGGAGCTGCGGACTGGTTTGTCCATATACTGGATAATAACGAATGTAAGGACAGAACTGAAGATTCGAGATTGCAACATTTGATAAGGGTGATACAGCTAGTGCGCTCGGACTTGCAGCGGGCTGTGGAGTACTTTGACAGAGTTTTTGTAGAGTAAGTTGTATTTTATTACGTAAATGTAGTTTCTTTTTTCAAATGAAAACCTAGTAGGCTAAGTTTTATCAAATTTTTGCTTAGATTTATACTTTTATAAGGCATAATTTACTTTTTTAAAATGACACAAGCAACATATTTCTTCCTATCATCTATCATGTTAATTTAGGTTTATTTATTCTTAAATTTACTTCAGCTTGACTAATAATGGAAGTTTTTTTTTATTTTACATTTATTCCTGCTTGTAGAATTCTTAAAAATTTTATCATGGATATTTAAATTTTTTACTTATTTAATTACACCTTATTATAATATTTTGGTATTCTCTCCCAGTCAACTCTGGGCGTGGTAAAATTGTAATGGTAGGATAAGTAAAAGTAGAAATAAAATAAACAGCACAATAATATTAATAAATACTAAATACTATTGTGAGAAACCGATTTGAATAATGCTTTTTAATAATGTTTTCTTATTTAGTCCAAATAAATAAATTTAATATAGGTAATATTATGATTTACGATATAATCTATCATAAAAATAATAGTAAAACAAATTATTATTTTTCAGAATAATGAGCTTCCCATATTCCAAAGTGTTATACGGTGTATATGAAAATAAAATAGCTTCACTGGTCGAACCAGAGGTGATACAAGTGTGCAAAAACCTAAAACGACTGCAGTACAATGAAGGCTCTACAAACAGTGTTTACTTGGCCGGTGGACTTAATGGAGAAACTGGGCTTGGAACTCCACAGGTGGACCACGAGCCTCTAGCTATGGGGACGACGCTCTTCGAATTGTATTTGGCGTTGCAAAGGTTTTTGGCGTAAGTATCCTTTTTATAATATTAATGTTGTTCCGTTCCGGTGTCTTGTTGGTTTAGTAGTTGGTGCGGAGTCAGGAAGCTGGCGCTGTCTCACCTCGTGCCTCGGAAAGCACATCTCCGGTCGTGTCAGTTTACTGTCCCATCGTACTATGAGCGTGAGAGAATAGAGAGTGCACCTATGCTTGCGCTTACACTTGGGCACTATAATCCTGTCCTGCGCCGATGGGTAGACTCCGTTTAGGTTGGCCACCGTTACGTTCGGTCTGGGGAATATTATTAATTATGAAGAAAGAGTTTGTTTGTCTACCTTACACGTGACACGTACGTGATGTAGTTTGTACAGGTATAAATTTGTAAATCTTTTTACCGGTCGTATTTTCAAATGATTTATTTCTAGCGCATTTACCTAGTTTAGTGTATAGAATGGTATTTGTGCTGGTCTTCTTATTTATCAACTCCTACAAGTTCATTGTTCAACACGCTTGTGAGATTAGAGAAAATGTGCGCAGGGATTGCTTGATTTAATTCCTCCCTCGCCATTCTATCATCGGACTACCAGATGCTTGGCTGGTCTCCACCACTTTGTGTTCGAAATACTACGCATCCAAACTTTATAGCAAAGGAGTGGAATAATTCGCTAGCATCTTGTTTTTTCGTTCGATTATAATGTTGGTATCTTCAAGGCAAGAGTGAAAAAGATTTTGTTAAACTAAGTTAGTACATTTTACCATCTTCACGTGAGACAGTAGTCAAGCTTTGGCATATAATAGTTTAAAAAAGTGATTAATATAAAGGTTTGTCCCGTCTCCAATCTGGGTATCTTACGTCTAGTAAATTAAAAGCCTATATACGTTACACTTCTGGGCACAGACATCCTCTTATTTCTGGGAGGGTTTATTATGGCAAGATGTTCGCCGCGCTGCACTAATGCTTGTTGGCGAACTTCACATATCTTCGAAATATTTTTTTTCGTATTTCTCAGACATGCAGATTTCCTCACGATTTTTTCTTTTACCGCCGAGCACGTGGTAAATCAGCACTTAAAATTGCAACTAACAATTTCATCGGTGCCGGCGCAGATCGAACCCGGGTTTACGCGTAATGTGAAATTTACAGCGAGCGTTTAGCCCCTGAGCTACCACGGGTCACGTCTTTTACGTCTGGCGTAAACCAGATGATCACCATCTATCGGAAGCTATGAGATTGCTCTAGCACTTCCTGTAGTCTTCTCTCACGTTACCCATGGAGACGAAATCGAATGATAAATTCTCTTATACTTTTTTTATATAGGGTAAGGGTGACAAACGAGCACACAGTCAACCTGATGGTAAGTGGTTGCTGTGACCCATAGACATCTACATCTATACTCGATTACGAATCAAAATGCAGAATGCGTTCTCAGTTATATAGGATAAGGGTGACAAATGAGCACACAGTCCACCTGATGGTAAGCGGTTGTTGTGGCCCATAGACATCTACATCTATCCTCGATTACGAATCAAAATGCAGATGAATTGTCAGTCTTGAGGACTAAGGCTCTTACAATTTCGTGTCGTTAAAACCTAAGGAATATACTAGAAAACTCTGATCAATGGCGTTAGTTGAATGTTCAGAAAAAAACCTTTAAGTTGGACTGGGTACTGTGATTACCTACTTTTTATCATTCTGTCATCGTCTTGGGAATGACCTTTGATCAAAAATGGGTTGTTTAACACCCAAAAGGATAGATTTCACACTATGTGACCGTAATTTTAACTTTATCCACTTATCCAATGTTATTTTTCATTTCAGCTTAGGACAGGGCTTAAACGAAACCGAGTGGAGTACTTATGCAATCTCCAAATTTCATTCGTGGTTTTATGGCGGTGTCGCTCAATGGCTGGATATAGCTGCTTACAAGGCGCTCACTCGCATTGAAAAGGCGGTGGATCTAGACAACCTAGTACCTGTGGACACCAATGTTAAATACAGTAGTTCGGGAGTAGATACGCTTGCCATATTTTATCAGATCAAGATATTCTGGCAGCAGTTAGCCTGGCCTGATGTAGAGGGATGCTATACGTTTGTTGCTAAGATAGTTGATGTGAGTTTATTACCAATATTTCTGTTTTAAATTATATAATATCACGTTCCTACAAAATTATTCGCATCAACATATCTATCATATACAAAAGTTTCATAAGTAGTTTCAATAAATATCATATTGTTGGGCACGAGCCTTTTCTCATATATGATTTTAGCTATAGAGAAGGAAAGAGTCCGCTATACTACTGTGCTGTTTGACGAACACTATACATCTGAGACGGCTCCTTGGTGCCGTGGTTTAACGTGCAATGACTTGCAGCGCTGAGAGCCCCTGGTTCGAAAATTATTTATAGGCCATATAGTATCTGTATGGCCTGCAAATCATTTTTCCATGTCTGGATGTTTGTTCTTGTGCGATTTATGTATGTAAACTGCCTTGACGATTTAGGAGATTATCCTAGTGTGGTGGTAACGCTTTTTTAAAAATATTAAAAGCTTCTCGGGCACGATAACAGTTACCACTGTTATCGTGCCCGAGAAGCGTGCGTGCAAGAGAAAGGAAGTTCCGTTATGATCCAACATGCTGCGAATGAGGTAAAAAGAGGCACATGTAGGTAAAAAAGAGGCACAGTTAACAATGGTAGAGCCACGCGGCAGCTTTTGCTGTCGCACGGATGGGCCGGCTCGAACCGGGGTGGGACCACGACCTCACAGAAAACCAGCGTGAAGTAGAGGTTTACCTCTGCGTTTCGCTTGGTGAGTGCAGGTGGGCGGAGGCCTTTTTTACTGGAAATGAGGCATTCCATCTTAGTCCTCACGGGTGACAACGCATCTACATTTTGTTTTGTAACAGAGGATAGATGTAGATGTCTATGGGCCGCAGCAACCACTTACCATCAGGTGGACTGTATGCTCGTTTGTCACCCTTATACTGTAAAAAAAAAGTTTTCTCATAAAGTTTTGTTTTCATCGTTGAGCATGTTAAAAACAGCGTTTAGCTATAAAGATTTTCCAAGAAATTCATGTGAATAAGAGTTATATTCCCGTCTCACTCTCATATCATAAAATTCGGTTTGCTAGATAACTATAAAATATAAATTTAAGACGAGCATCATACTTTTATATAACAAACATTAATCAGATCATATATAAATTTTAAACAAAATTGTAAGTTTTCTCATCATAGTTGTATTTATTTTATAAAAAAAAAGATGTTAATCGTTTTTCACGCCAACAGGACATTTGCCGGTGCTGTGTGTTCTATTCAGACAAAATGGCGGGCCGGGTTGACAACGTAGGCACGATTAGCACGGTATATGAGGAACGCTTCGAAGTGACGAACGAGTGGTGCGTCGCCATCAATAACATTGACTACGTGCGTCAGAGTCTACAGCCATTCGTACGAGAGCTGGGCATGGACGAGATCGTACAGAACATGTGTGAGGCTAGGTCGCCGCTCGAAGCACAGAGGTAAATTAGGTCAAAAAACTCCATCATTCTTTATTGTTTTCTATCGGATTCAAAAAGGAGGAGATACTCAATTCTACTGTATGTTTTGTTGTTTTTTCTTTTTATGTGTGTTACCTCATAACTTTTATCTAGTTAAACCGATTTCGATGATTCTTTTTTTGGTTGGTAGCTGGTGCTTCTGATGTGGTCCCATATAAATTTGATCAAGGTCTGACTAATAGTTTTTGAGTTATTCTTAATAATTTATACTGAAGTCAGTTGTACAAAATTTTAAATTTTAAATTATGTTACAACAGCTTAGTGCCTTGGTTGCCTTGAAGACGCTTATTGGAACAATAAGTACTTTATATTTTGTCTTTTTAATGTACAATACAATACAATCAATACTGTTCATTTTAACGCAAGGAAATAATATGGAGGTTGGTGTAAAAATATCTAATATCCCCCAAATCATCCAGTGGGTGCCGTTAGAGATGACAGGGGGCAACTGAAACAGAATATGGGCAGCAGCATCTTCCTAATAATGAATAAAAATAAAAATGCGGCTTAAAAAACTGCGGTTGCCAACCCGCTTGCCAAGCGTGGTAACTATAACAAAAACCGCCACTATGAGGCAATTTATAGGGGAGGTCTATGTTCACCAGTAGACTTTAATAGGCTGAAGACGGTAACGGTAACGGCATGATATAATATCTTAAAATATAAACTTGTTTCAGATGCAAGGAGACTCTCCAAAACGTCATGGCAAATGCAATAGACACAGTAAAAAATAAAATCCTAGATTTGTTAGAAATCATGGTGAAAAAGGTAATTTACCAAATTTTATATATAAAACCAAATTTTTCTCAATTTTTCTTATTTCTCACACATCATGTCGTTCATGTTGTGTTATACTCAGGGGATTTGTTCTTCTTAAATTTTACAATACACGAGCTATTTAAGTTCGATCACTGTCGGTGTCACAAAAGTCATAATTTAAATTTTAAGCCCTAATTCAACGTAACTAGGGTGGTACTGCAGTCTCTTAAGCGGTACCAAGTTGACTCTCAGTATATCGAAGTACTAAAGTGTTTGCACTATCCGAGTATGGAATCTGTGTACGAAACCTTTCCAACTGTAGAGAGGTGTAACAGGCTGACGTTATATCCCTGTAACTCTCTCTCCAGCAATGCATTGACAGATGTTTTCAAGCTACTGGACTGGAAAGTATGCAACCCTAGATCCTACTACTACAGGAAAGGTATCAACATCAATGGCGAGTACATCACTCGTCTTCGATTTGTTGAAAATATAGTCATTATGTCGGAATGGCTGTAGAACCTCAATACTTAGCTCAATGACCTAATAGTGTCTCACAAAAAATAGGTCTTAGAATGAGGCATGGACAAAACAAAGATCACGTCACATCCATGTTACACCTATGCCGTTGGTTTTGGGATCACTACGCTTGAATTTGTTGACGAGTTTCTTTACCTAGGACAAAAAGTTCAACTTTGACCGAGAAGTCAATCGACGGATCCAACTCGGTTGGGTAGCCATCAGTAGGTTACGACACATCTTCTCTTCACGACTACAAACTTGAAAATAAAACACTTGAAACAAAAATGTAGAACCAGTGCATGTTGCCAATTTTGTTCTATGGATCTAAGACGAGATCCTTCGAGATAACAAACTAGCCGTTTATGGAACCTCAAGATCGCTCAGCGAGCTATGGAGAGGGCTAAGCTCTGAGTTTCTATGCGTGATGACTTCGTTATGAGGATATCCGCAGTAGAACCACAAATACCGATATAGATTAGTAAGCTGAAGTGGTAACGGACTGGCCATATAGTTCGAAGAAGCGACAATCGATAAAGAAGAAATGTTCTCGAGTGGCACCCTCGTACCTGTAAGCAAAGCGTAGGGCGGCCCTTAGCTCAGCAGTGGACTTGTAATGGGCTGTAATGATGATGTTGATGATGAAAGAAAATTGAAAATCAAAATATTTTTGCATAAATGTGGACAGTGGGAATTTTTGCATAAGGTGTTAGCATATAAACCCAGGGCTTGCGGCACAGTAGCTAAGTTCTCTGATCATTTTACGGAGTCCTGTCGATTGACAAAGTGACAGTTAATACTTATTACATAAAAATTTGCAGATGATGCCCTCTATCACTCGTTTCTTGATAGAAGGAGCTGAGTTACTACATCAAGATTGTTCCAGCATGGATCGAGTGATGCGTTACTTAGAAGCCAATCTTGACACTCTATACCAGCATTTAAACAACGAGAACTTTTCAAGAACTTTAGACATAGTCTGGGAACAATTAGGAGAAGTGTTATATGAATTGATACAGGCAAATCTCGAGGTAAGTGGACCTGTAATTTCGTTTTACCGTATACCTTTATATATATATTTTTTTAAATATTAACAACTTTTAATCTTATAACTTGTACCATTATCTCTCAATCACATACTTTAACACTAACTTGTTAATAACGTAATTAGATCCAGTAAAATAAAAAGGCTATCCAATAAAACATCTATGTGATTAGCCGTCGTATTTATTAGGTCACATAATTGACATGGTGTGACAAGTCGGCCATAAAATACTTATTTTGTTGTGAAATTAGGTCAAAAGATAGAATAGAATAGAATAGAATAATTTTTTATTCAATATCTATCACTGGTTCGGAAAATACCTCTGTTCTGGGAAGAACCAGCAAGAAACCCAGCGGGACTTTTTTTTCAAACATAATTTCGTTTATACAATTTTTAACTAATTTTTCATAGAACCAGCATAGTGGCGACCTTATTCCCAGGGGTTATTTTTATTCATGTATTCCTTGATATTATAATAACTTTTTGTACAGTTTTTCTTTAATAAAACTTTTAAACTTGTTTGTTGACAAACTTTGAATATGTCCTGGGATTTTGTTGTAAAAGCGTATACATTGCCCCATAAATGAATTACTGATTCTGTGGAGTCTAGTAACTGGTATTACAAGCTTATGTTTGTTCCTAGTGTTTAAAGTATGCACATCCTTATTCTTATTAAAGCTATTTATGTTTTTATGTACATACATTACATTTTAATATATATATATATATATATATATATATATATATATATATATATATATATATATATATATATATATATATTATGATATTTTATTTTATTTCAATTTCCTTTTTATCTTTTTTCTTTACCTGACTTTAAATAGCAGATCGTTATAAGTTACTCGATTTAATTGCTATCATGTTTTACATTTTTAATAATTTATTTTTAGTATATCTACCTACCTATATGTTAACATATAAAATGCCAATTATTGATATGAAAATTATTTCACGTAAAAATGTTGTTAATAATTACATATCAGATTATTTTATTTACTTACAGAAGAGCACATACTTAAACCTTGATTCGCTTTTACTTTCACTGGATCTAAGTTTCGTACTAACATCGGACTAACAAAATAATAATTTTCAATTTTATAGAAACAGAAAGTAGACATTGCCTCCCGTATCCGCTTAATTAGGCGTAGATATATTGGCAGACACAAAGTATGCCCCTACGTTGTATTATTTCGGGTAAATAACGTTGCATTTATAATGCACGCAGACAGAACTGATTAGAAACACGCACAACATTACAATAATTTACATTGCTGGTTTTATTTTTAATGCTTGTTTTTATTGATTGTTGTTTTATTATTGTTTCAATAGCACCGAAGGGCAAAGATAACTCGCTATATCGACCCGAGACGCTTGCACAAGTCGGCTGCCGCCCACTTGGACGCGGTAATCATTCATTATAGACAGCACCTTGTTTATGTTCTATATCAATGTTATGTTGCCCATGCGTTGTTATGTTATGGGCCCTGTGGCAGTTCTTTTCTCTAATTTTTTATACATTTATTTTGCAAGAGGAATTCGGGGGGGGGGGGGGAGGATTGACTGAACGAGATCGAAAATTATTAGACTTTTTAACGTTTATATTTGTGTAGGTACAACAATTCTGCGATGTAAATAATGAAAAGACATAAGCGCGTTAATTATTGGCAAAAAATTCATAAAATTAAAATTTTTATGGCAATTTTTTAAGTATTTCATAACATGCATTTGAAGAAGTTGTTATGTATTTTATATATCTAAAAATATTATTATATATCTAAAAAATCATTGCGCACACTTAAAAATTGTCTAGACGTCCGTTAAGATTTCATTACTTTTATTTCTGGTTGCAATTGTAAATATGTTAACAATTATCAATGCTGCCATCTATAAATTGAATAAGCAGATTTATAACAATTAACTGTACGTATTTAGTGGATAAATGAATGAAACTAAAGTATAACTTATGTCTCACTGTCACAGGGCCAGCTATTAAATATAGAAATAGAAATGTGTTTGTTATGTTTTGAACCAATTCTGATATTGGTTGTCTGCGTCGTTGAATATATATGTTTATATGTTCGCTTCTTATTTAGTATGAATTTAGAAATGTAAGTATTATTTATTTTTATTCATTGATTTCAATCAATTCCTTTTTGAACAGTTTAGATAATTTGCGATTGATAAATAAGTACTTTAATGATTACATTTTAGACAAGCAATGCGGATTTAAATATTGATAGGCAATGAGAAGCATGCCATTTGCATGATATTTACAAATATACAGGGTTATTTTTCAAAGACTATCCAAATTTTATATTTAAGTTAAAATATATAAAGATTGATATACCGTTATTACAGTTTTTGAAAATACGAGTAAATAAGGCTTCTACTTTGATTTGAAATTATCCCAAATTGTATGTGATTTATGGACAACAACTATGCGAACCTGCGCTTCTCTGTGTGCAGTTCAATTCACAACGTTTTTGTTGACCGAGCGATCCTTGCGAATGTGTGCGTGCTTAGTAAAATAGTAAGCGTTAGATATTTATGAATGACAATCAGTTAAAATAATGCATTATTACCATCGATCACTAATAATTCTGAATTTAAAAGATTAAAATACTGTATGAGATAATTTTAATTTTTCTTCACCATTTGGCTATATTACTTATTCTGAACCTTCTCTGCAAATTTGGACGTATATTGTAAAATAACCCTGTATAATGCCAAAGGCCTAATGCCTAATGTATAAGGTGCCTAAATTTTGCACGAAAATCATAGTAACTTGATAGTTCAAATCATAGGATTATTGTCTACTGCTTAAAAGATACGTATAATATATTACATAAAAGATTCACTAAATTTAATGATTTGAAATACCAATTACCAATAATACATCATGGAACCTGGAATGATCATTAGTTTATACCTATCTGGAAACTTACAAATTAAATTATTTTGTAATTAATAATTTCCGGAATACTTTACAGAAACGCCGTCCACCATCATTCTTCTCCAACCTTCACGAATGTCTAAACATAATGGTGCGATCGTTCCGCCAAGACAATAAAGAAGTCTACACGTCTGACACGCTTAAACGTGTAGAGTATTTATTGAAGATTCATGGCATGGAGACTAGGGAATTAATCCATCAGTATCATTTGGAGAGGTGGCAAGAGCAACAGTCAATAACTGAGCCCAAGATGGGTGTACTCACTGTAAGGGCGCAGTTTATAGACGATAATTTAAAAATAGAAATTATGAACGCAAGAAATTTAATGCCAACGGACTCGAATGGTGAGCTTATATAATTCATATTTATATTATAGAATATAATAAGAGACAAATTCTGAAGAAGGGTTCTATTTACATTATTTTTATAGAAACTATAAAAATAATGTAAATAACATTATTTTTATAGAAACCAATCTACTTGATGGTGGTAAGTAGATGCTGTGGGCCATAGATACCTACATCTGTCATGCATTTAGAATTAGAATGAAGGTTGTCATGTCATTGTCACCTCCATTCGAATAAACAGACGATTCTAGTAAAAAGAGTCTCCACTTACCATACGAATTGTAACAGCACTATGTTGCTATTTTACGCTGGTATTCTGTGCGAGCGTGGTTCGGGCTATCCAACGTTTTTTTCTGCCACCAGGGCGGCGCCAATTAAAAATTAGGTGTAATATTTGACAGATTTCATAGCGTAGAAGTTAATTTGTTCGAAAAATATGAAGGTTAATATTTTTTTTGTAGTATTAGTAAGACATTAATTAGATAGAAAAAAATAAATAGATCAAACCACACATATTCATAAAAGTAGAAAAATTAAAAAAATAAATGTGCAAAAAATTAAAGAGCAAACCACTGATGCGTTGTACTACAAAAAGTAGAGGCCGAGCTATGGAGAAGGCTATGCTCGGGATTTCTCTGCGTGATAAACTTAGAAATGAGGATATCCGCAGTAGAACCAGAGTGACCGACATAGCCCAACGGATTAGTAAGCTGAAGTGGCAATGGGCCGGCCACATAGCTCGAAGACCCGACAACCGATGGGGAAAAAAGGTTCTCGAGTGGCAGCCTCGTACCGGCGGACGAAGTGTAGGGCGTCCCCCCACTAGATGGAGTGACGACCTGGTAAGATATGCAGGAAGTCGATGGATGCAGGTGGCTCAGGACCGTGCTTTGTGGCATTACTTGGGAGAGGCCTATGTTCAGCAGTGGACTTGTGAAGGGCTGTAATGATAATGATGATGATGACGATTCATGCTACTCCATGTTGCCGGTTCAGATTTTTACGCTTGCTTTATGTCACATTCCTATCCTACGTTATTATTCTAACATTTTACATGATGTTTAGTTATATATTTTCGGGTTCCTTTAATATATTTTCCACAAATTTATAAGTTTCAAATATACTCATAGTTATTCTCTTCTTCTTCATCATCAAGCCGTAAAATTCCATTGTTAATATGGGCTCCTCTTGTTTGGAGGATATGCAGTCGATCAATTATGAGTAGGTACGTCAAAAAGTTTTAGTGTAGTTTAGGGGTGTGAATATTATATCACCATAAATAAAAAATATATATACATATGTATCTTTATTCCAGGTCTCTGTGATTCTTACGTACGTGTATCGATATTACCAGAAGACATGTTCGCCAGTGTGGCTAAGCCCAAAACTCAAACACACAGCAAAAATCTTTTCCCGCTCTACGATGAAATGTTTATTATGTAAGTTTAAAAGTATACCGAGGTAAATGTATGTAATGTTGCCCAATAAATAAAAATTGATTTTTTTTTAATGTCTCTCGATTTCTCAATGTTTTTATATGGATGAAAAGTTTCATATAAATATGAAAGATCGTTTGATTTTGAACCCTAAAAAGACTACATTAACGGCGAACATAACATATATTTCTAAAATATATGTTATGTTTGCCGTTACCTTATATCACACATTAATCTTTCAGCATTCTGATGCATACATATATTCACAAACACTCAAGCCTATCACCTAGAGGGGTAGGCAGAGACTACGGACTTCCATTTGGCACGATCTCTCGCCTCCTCCACATCCATATACCTACGCAAACATGCTGTTCGGTTAAGGGTACTCTTAATTTGGCCCATTTTCAATATATCGTCAATTTGGTCGATAAACCTTCGCTTAGGGCGTCTCCTCCCGAATGCCGTTCACTTCTGCAACATAAATTTGATTTGTCACTCTTTCCTCGTTCATTCTTTCTACATGACCAAACCACCGAAGCATTCCTTTCATAATCCTGGTCACAACATCATCTTACAAACCACACTTTTATCTTATCACACAATTTCTCACCCTGTTACTCAGATTCATCCCTAACATCCTTAATGACCGCATTTTTTTATAGGATATGGTGACAAACGAGCACACAGTCCACCTGATGGTAAGTGGTTGCTGTAACCCATAGACATCCACATTTATCCTCAATGAAGAATCAAAATGTAGATGCGTCGTCACCCGTGAGGACTAACATGGAATGCCTCTTTTCCAGTAAAATGGGTCTCCGGTTCTCTACACTCACCATACGAAACACAGCAGCGTTAAGCTGCTATTTTACGCCGGTTTTCTGTGAGAGCGTGGTCCTTCCCCGGTCGAGCCGACCCATTCGTGCTACAACTATACTACTAATATAGCTGCAGCATGGCTCTACCACGTGCAAAAGCATTTCTACAGCATTTATTCTACTCTCGTGCTCTTTCTGCCACACCCAACTTTGACTACCATACATTAAAGTAGGGACTAAAACAGCACTGTGAATTGCCATGAGTGCCTTTTTGGACACATTCTGACTTTTCACAATAGACTATACAGCCCCATTCACTCTATTTCCTGCGTTCACTTGTCGTTCTATATCTTTATCATATCTACTATCCCTACTAAATACACATCCCAAATACACAAACTCATCTACTTGCTCGACCAACTCCCCTTCTATTCTTATTTCACATATCGTTTCGCTTTCTTTTCTTTCAAAAACCATAACTTTCGTCTTACTTGCGTTCGCAACTAAAATGCGGAATACATCGGATATGATAATTTGATAACTGATCTTTATTAGTTAATGCTTTTATATAAGTTATACATAATTGTTAACAACTTGCAATAATAATAGAAAGTTGTCACCTAAGTCATACGCAGCACGCAATCGTAGTATAGTAAAGTCTGCCAAAATAAATTAGTCAGTCAAGAGGCGATCTTTGAAGGATCATAATTTAAAACTTTGTTTTTTATATCATACTAATTCGTGTTCTTTCGTAAAAAAGAACACACACACGTATAGAAAGATATACGCACACATTATATATAATGTATATTATGGGTGCATATATTTCTCTCATTTATTCCAAGAAAATAAAACATAAAAATGTTAAGTCAAATCATTTTGCATAACGTTAACTAATCACACCTTTTTCCACAGCCCATTAACGGCTGAGCAACGTCGTATTACTGACGGCCTTTTGCACTTCGTCGTTAAGGATAAGGACATGTTCAGCGTTAGCAATACGTTCGTTGGCGAGGCGTATCTACACTTCAGTGAGGTGCCCGAAACTCCAGCACCTATAAGCAGTCTATCGCAGCAGCATTTGCCTCTCAGCAAACCTGATAGTATCGGTGAGTTATGAGTTGATCCTTTAAATCAGGGATACGTTTTAACTAATAACGTTGATGAGGAAGAAAGGTTCTCATGTGGCAACCTAGTCCCCGTAAGCGAAGTGGAGGACGGCCCTCAACTTAGTGGAGTGATGACCTAGTAATAGGTGCAGGAAGTCGATGGGTGCAGGTGGCTCAGCTCAGCTCAGACTATGCTTTGTCGCTCGACAACTGATGCAGGTTTGAGCTGATTAGATATATTTTCAGTGCATGGGAGACTTCACAGGATGCTTTGGGTATATTCTGTGACCTATCCAAAGCCTTCAATTGCGTTCACCATGATACATTAATCTGGAAACAACAACACAACGGTATAAGAAGTAATGCTCTTAAATTAATTGTTTCATATTTAAGTAACAGAAAGTTGTCATTAATAGTATGAGCTCTTCCGGGTCAATAGTACAAATGGGCGTGCCTCAAGGCTCAATTCTCGGCCCCTTTCTGTTTCTTGTATATTATATTAATGACTTACTTTACGTAGTAGGGGACAATCATAATATATATTTAACCATAATACTATATTTAGTATTATTTGCTGATGACACTTCATTAATTTTCAAATTAAAAGAATTATTAAAATATGACGAAGTAAATAATGCTATATCTAAATTAGTAAATTGGTTTAATGTTAATAAGTTGCATTTAAATGGTATTAAAACAAATTGTATGAAATGCATGACTCCAAATGTCAAACAACTAAATAATAATGTAATTTTAAATGGGAAGGAACTGAGACTTGTCGATACCACCATTTTTCTTGGAATAACACTAGACGCGAAGCTTCAATGGAGCCCCCATATATCAAAATTAGCAAGCAGACTTAGTTCTGCAGCATATGCTGTAAAAAATATTAGAAATCTTACCAGTGTGGAAACAGACTTGTTTACTTTAGCTATTTCCATAGCATAACGTCGTATGGTATTTTGCTATGGGGACACGCGACTGAGTGTCAGTTAATTATATTTGTTTTACCCAAGAGGGATATAAGAGCAATCTATGATTTAAAACCTAAAGAGTGGTTCCGACAAAAATTTAAGGAAATTAATATATTAACTTTGGCCCCTCAATAAATTTATGAATATGTAATGTACTTACACAAAAATAATAGTAGTTACATAAAAATAAGTGATATTCATTCTGTAAATACTAGGAACAGACACAAGCTAGTACTACCAGTTACTCGACTCCACCGAGTCAATAATTCATTCTTGGGGCAATGTATACGCTTTTACAGCAAAATCCCAGAAAAATTTAACCTTCTCAAAGTTCAAAAACTTTATTAAACAAAGTTTGTATGAATAGGTTTATTATAATATTAAGGAATTTATGGAGGATAATAACCACTGGGAATGAGGCGATCGCTACCAAGCTATTTCTAATTTGTTTTGTGTGGTTAATTTTGTAACATACATGATTGTAAGCTGTTATTTAAAAAAACTCCCGCTGGGCTTCTTGCTGGGTCTTCAAAGGACAGAGGTTTTTTTCGAACCAGTGGTACTTAAACAAAAGAGTGACTTTCAACAAGTATTATTTATAATCTACATTGAATAAAAAAAAGTTTCTGTTTCTGTTCATTGAGGGATGTGCAGCAGTGAAGCTTATAACAAGTCAAACATATAACACCCCTCTTTTTGCGTCGGAGGTTGAAAAAATGGAACCACTCAAGTTTTAATAACTGTAATACCTATCTCTGAACATGGTCATATCTTTACCGCATTGTTCAGTAATAAAGCGAACATCTGACAAGCCTGTATGCAGGTAGGTGAGGTAGGTCTCCTTCACAGTGAGGATTTTTATTACCATAGAATAATAGATGAGCTAATTACTGTAGCCCATCGATATGTACGTTCTACATCTAACTTCAAACAAAGAAAACCTCACAGCTACAACGTTTGAAAGTTGACTTAGGATATGTTTTCATTTTTGTGTAATGAATTTAGATCAAATTAAAATGATATATTCTCGTTGCTGCAGATGGTGATGCAATCAAGGCTTTAGAATCGAGGCAAGGCGATAAGCAAGCAAGAGAGTTCCTAAAAAAACAAAGACAGAAAATGCCTAGCAAGCAATTCTTCTCACTTGGTTAAACATATAACATAGCGTTGATGTTAATTGTATTGTTTCTGTCACATTTTCTATAACGGTGCTAAAAGCTTTATTTCCTGTTGCTATAAAAAGGAATGGGATATCGATGTTAGCTGTATAGGTAAAAGACGTAATAATTATATAAGTACATTTTGTAGAAAACATAATACATTTTTATATCGATAAACATTTCCATGCTTTTGTACTAATTCTGTAGTACTATGATAGTTTATGTTCTGAAATTGTACATACAACAAAATCGAATATACACCAATGAAGTCTCCTAACAAAAAATTGAAGTAAAACTAGTTTTGTTTAAATAATAATATACATACGTACGTATTTATAGCGTCACGCCTGTAAACCCCGAGGGAGTCCAAAGGGTAGCAAGCTCTCGGACCAAGTTTAGCCAAAACATATGATATTGGACCACGCTCTCACAGAATACCAACGTAAAATAGCAGCTTAACATTGCTGTGTTTCGTATGGTGAGTGTAGAGAACCGGAGACTCTTTTTACTGGATAAGAGGCATTCCGTATTAGTCCTCACGAGTGACAACGCATCTGCATTTTGATTCGCAAACGAGGATAAATGTAGATGTCTATGGGCCAAAGCAACCACTTACCATCAGGTTGACTGTGCGCTCGTTTGTCACCCGATCCTGTAAAAAAAATTGTGAAATCAGTGATGATATAGAATACTATCAGTGAGATGCGCCCCTACAAAATCACAAACCTATCAATCCATTAGTCACCTTTTACGACATGCTAGACAGGTAACATTAATAGTAAATTCTTTCTTAATATTAGACCCACATAAATATGAGACCTTTATATCCAAGCCCGACATGAAAAATATAATATGTATATAATTACAATATATTGAGATTAAACAAGATGTGTTGAATTTCGTAATAAAAAGTAGGCTGAGACTGACATATTATTTGTTAGGCGTAAATGGAAACGTTTCAAATCATTAGACGTGTGAAGTGCTAGTTAAGATATTACGAATGTAACAGGTTACGCCACATTATCAGATAAAACGTTAATTTTATGAGAAATCCATACTGAAACGTTTATTTTGTGAACATTTCGCATTGAGAAAGGAGAAAGATATTTTTAATTATTACACGTTGAGTATGATATTTTCATATCGCCCAACGTTTTTATGCATTATGTTGAAGGAGAGTTTGTAGTAAGGAAATGTTTTGTGTGTGTACTTGATAAATTATTTTATACTTTAAAAAATTAATATTGATGTAAGCAATATGGAATGCCGATGTGTGTGACTTCGCTGTTTTTTAAAAAAAAAGATTATTTATACAGTACGTACGGATAAAGAATGGGATTGGAAATGGCGGCTCATCGCGCCTGTACCGTCAACATGCATAGTACCAATAGCGGAAACCCGCTAATAACGGTATATCGTTATAACGTTATATTATTCGGTTAATTGATAATTTTTTATTAATGGGAAAATATTTGAAAATAATTGCAGACGCAAGTAGGTACATTAATTTTAAAATAAAGTTTATAACTAGGGACCTGCTCTTGCTTCGCCTGAGTGGGATCTATTAATGTGGCGTTATTTAGACTTAATATAATCATTAAAGGCCATTTATTTTATCTTATCAATATTTCTATTTTAATAAAGCCTCTAAATTTTTCTAATAAAATTTAGTCTAGATCACTCCTGGTGTTACTTTATATTTGTTCGTGAAGTTTTATTACAATCGGTTCTGCCATTGCGAAGATTAGCTCAGACAGACAGACAAACTAAAATTTAAAAAAATGGTTACTACTCGTGTCTCAATAGCATGTAAATATTTTATACAAAAATACTAACAACCAAAATTGACAATAATTATAAAGAAACGTTTAGTTTACAGAGTAGCGAAACAGGACAGATTTTTTTTGTAGTTTATGGCATTTTGATATCATTAATTCCAATAATAAATTGAACTGAGGTTATAGAACGTACGAAAAACGCATATCGCAACGTATTTTTTGCAGTCTTTACCAGAGGGTGTGAGTATAGATAGAGATAGTGTGCGAGCGAGAGTTGAATAGAGGCGACACTATTTTCAATCCCATTCTTTAAACGCACGGTTAGTAGTTATCTAGTAGCTATGTTCTGTGATAGAAAGAAGTGCCTTATGAAATAATTTTATTTTGAATTTGTAATCACATTCATATATTTATATTAGAAAAGTTTGAGAAGGCCTTGTTCAAAAGTGCCTGTGTCATTTTCAAATTCTTCGTTTTTATTTTGCCAGATTATTTTGTTTTATTCTGTTGTTACGAAAGCTATTCATTCAAGGGTTCAAAAATGTATTATGATGGATCTTATGTGTAATATTTTTTATTTATTAATACTAATAAAACAGTTCATAATACCAGTGTTTTTATTTTCACTTTATTTAGGACAACAATATTACTTCATAGCTTACAACATGAGAAATGAAACAAAATTAATTTCTTATATTATAACCAGCTCCGTTAAAGACCAGTTTTGTTTAAAACACAAATTACCGAGTACAAACTATAAAAAATAACTTAAAAAAAAATAAAAGCCGACTTCAAAGAACTTAAGAGAATAAAAAAAAATACATTCTGGAGTCACACCGTGTATCGGCGGTGTGTACCCCATATTGTCCCTTGGGTGTCGTAAGAGGCGACAAAGGGAAACTAAATAGGAGGTAGGCGGTAGTAATTTTCTGATCACACCTTAAAATAATAAAAAGCTGCGGCAAAATCCCCCCCCCCCCCTTGAAGCAATCAATAATAAAAATATAGGGGAGACTTATGTTCAGCAGTGGACTTTTATGGGCTGTAATGGATGGATGGTAGGATTCGGAAGTCGATGACATACATATTGATAATATATAGTAGAATCAATGCACTGACTTTGAATGTGAAATTATTTTATTCTATTTAGTTCTTTATAGACGGCTTTTAATTATTTATAAAGTAATTTTTAACACTTTTGATTAGACTAAAGAATATCACCATTTCAATGTCTTTTAACGTTTGAATATTTTTACAAATTTATATGGGACCACCCCTGAAGTACGACTACTACTATTATTTAATAAAAAAAGGTTCATCAATATCTGTTCACAATTGACAAATATATCCTTTTTTTTATGTCGGCTAAAAATAGAGAACCGTTCATAGTAAATTGTTAAAAGAAAATATAAAGGTGCGTGGAGTCTTTCGCCTTTTCGTTGCTGCAATCCAATAAATAATTTATTTTTCATTAATTTTATGTAAATTTCATGTTAATTTATTGTTTTGTAGGGGCTAATAAAGTATTTTTTAAATAAAATAAAAATATTAAGACGAATTTAGTTTAAAGTAAAAAAAAAAAGATGAACTACATTACAATAATTACTTCCGCAAGATATTAATTTAGTGCGGGCAAGATGAATGTTGAAAGGACCCTGTCGTATTTGGATTTCCATTACATCTCGTCATAAGTCCACTGCTGAACATAGGGCTATCACCGTCTTGAGCCCCCTAAATACAACAACATCTTGCATGTTTTACCTGATTGTCCGGCCTCCATCTAGTACCTCGCCGCTTACCAGGAGGCTGCCACTCGGAAACCTTTCTTCTCCATGGGTTGTCGGTGCTTCCAGCTATGGCCGGACGATTGCGCACTCTTCACTGATACATCGGACGATGTCGGTAACTCCGGTTCAGCTACGTAAAGTAATATCGAACACAGTCCTTTGCATGGCTTACAGAATGACATAAAGCTTTCTTATGCGCCCAAAGTAAAGTACCATGCCTCGGTTTCATATGTTATATCTGGTAACACGTACTAGTGTTACAATTGTTTCGAGATTTTGAGGTTTATTGGACTGATCATGATCGAAGTTGGACCTGCTTAGTGAGATAATGCCTCTCGTGAAAAAAATATGGAAACCCTCTGTGCGCAGTCCAACTCATTCGCGCCCCTCGACATGGAGTGCTCCTACTCAGACTCTGGGTCCACGGAGTCGACCTCCCAGAAGAGGCCCGCCACCGAAGCTAAGTTCGGCACGGGTTCATCAGAGTCGTCTGACTCTGACGGAACCGGCGAATCTGTGTTCACCACAGTGGCCTCCAAGCGCGGCCGTAAACGCGCGGCGAAAAGTCACACTCCCCCCCGTCCCGGTAGCCCCCGCCGCTGCCTCAACCTCCGCAGCCCCCGCCGTTGCCCCAACCCCCGCAGCTCCAGTTGCCGTCTCTGCCCCCGCAGCCCGCGCTGCTGCTTCAGCCCCCTTAACGTCGTTAGACATCCCTCCACCATCCAAGCCAGCTTCCCGCTGCGCCCCTACTCTTGCTAAAAAGCAGGTCCCGTCCCCTGTCTTTTTTAGAGACAAGGCAAAATTCACCCATCTCTCCAAGATCTGCTACGACGCAGGAATAATGTATGATCAGGCCACCAACCTCGGTGAGGCTGTTAAGATCTTACCCCAGTCGATCGACAACTTTCGCCGCCTTACCAGGCTATTTACATCCGAGCGTGTGTCCTACCACACGTACGCTCTTCTGGAAGAGCCAAAACGCCGAATCTCCACCCGGGTGCGTCCTATGCCAGCAGTCTGGCCACTTGCACTCCTCACATTCGTCCAAGCAAACAAGGTCCACCGCCGGTCAATGCCAGATCATTCTCGGCCCTCCCGTCAAGATTGCCCCGTCAGGGCCTTTCCCAACCCCTTCAGGGCCCCTTCAGACCCTCTCAGGGTCCCCCAAGGCCCCCTCAGGGCCCTCTTCGGCCCCCTCCGGGATTCTCCCAGCCTTCGCAGCCTCCAGTCGTCCCCTGGGGCTCTAAAAAGGCCGAGCCTCCGCGGACATCCTCCGCCCCTCAGAAAGCACAACCCTCAATGGTTGATGACCTAAATACGGTTTATTCCGCTATTAGAAACATCAACATTGGGGAAATTGCTGTCTTAGCACGCAAATTGCGCGCTGCTCAGTCCCCTCAGGACCGTCTTCTCGCTCTTACAGAGCA